GAGAATCTTTGTCTTCTTGACATTGAGCCTTAGTCCATACCGAAGGCTGCAGTCTTTGACACACACAGGTTTATCCTAGAGAAGGTTAAGCCAGGCTACTCCTTGGAGACAAGGATTCTGAAGCTTCATCTGACATACTTTGGATATGTTGCAAGGAGGGACCAGTCCTGGGAAAGTGATGTCGTGCTTGGGAGGGTGGAGAGACAGCGCAAGAGAGGAAGACCCTCTATGAGATGGATTCAGTGACTGGTGTAATGGGGGTAGATGTGTTGGAGGCATTGAGCTTGGCACAGGATAGAGCAGGGTTTAGACCTGTTATACATAGGGTCTCTATGAGAGTCAACAGCCCATAATAACAACAGTAAGTTTTGAGATCAGAGAGTGCTATGTCTTCCACTTTTTTTCTTGTTTTTCAGAAGTGTTTTGCTTATTCAAGGTCTCTTTTTCTCTCCAAATAAGCTGAGAATTGTCTTTTCTCTCTCTTTGAAAAAGGAAATTTTTTTTAATTTATTTTTTTTGTGTGCGTGTACCATCAAATCAGATCCGACTGGTACAGGAGGAGATTGTTCCTCCTTCCCCAGCAGAGCATCTGGTGGATTCGAACCGTGCGCCTCTGGGATTGTAGTTGCAGCTCCTTACCACTAGGCCACCAGAGCTCCCCTTGAAAAATGAATTAAGCATCTATATTGGGATTATGTTATACATGTAGATCGCTTTTGGTAAGATTGTCATTTTTACTACATTGAGTCTTCCTACCCATGAACAGCAAACATTTTTCAATTTTTAGAACTTTTATTGTGTCTCACAGAAGTGTTTAGTAGTTTTCTTTGTAAAAGTCTTTTGTGTCTTTAGTTAGGTTTGTACCTAAGTATCTCAGTTTGTAAAAAAATCCTTCACGAGGCTTTGGGAGTGCAGTCTCCCTCCACTCTGGAAGTCAGCTGGCTAATCGGGAGGGATGGCTGGCATCGCCATGGCAGCTCCTCTTGGTGGCAGGCAGGCAAGGGAAGTTTCTGGGGTCTTTTGCGTTGTGTATTACTGTCCTTCTTGGCCTTCAAACGCGATGGGTGGCCCTGACCCTTAGAATAAGGGTAAGTAAGGGTGGGGTTGAGCCTGCGGAGCCTGCTCTAGGCCCTAGCTTAAAATCTTAATTATTTTCGGTAAAACATTCTTCTAGGTCGTGTAACCCTGATATGTTCATTTGCTGTACAGAGGTAACTTGTGGTTGCTGTGAAGCCGAACACTGTGACACTGATGAGATGAGTCCAATGCGAGAATGGTTACCCAGGGTGGACAGTTTTTGGTGGAGCTCCGCAAGTAAAACAAACAGGAAGCAAGAGTGGCATCCACTTCCATAATAGCTTGCCTCTGGAAACCCTATGAACCTGGAGAAAGGATGAAAGTTATACAGGTGTCCAG